ACTCTCACTCAAGGAGTAACTTCTGCATAGGTTTTATTTCTTTTTGTCCATTTCTCCTCTTTGATATAGAGGAGCAAGGAGATTTCACTCAAAGCTTCAATACTCTGACTAAAGGGCAGAACTTACATTGCTATCTATTTTTCACAGAATGACCCCAGATGGCTCACAGCAACCAATTAATAATAAAAAGGTCATCCCATGCATACCAAGTTCCCAGAACCATTCCAGCTTTCCTGTCCCTGAAGGCTAAAAGGATAAATAATCTTGTAATGGTGTAGGCCACAGCATATTCCCTTCTAAGGTAAAGTATCTCAGAAGGACTTACCAGTCAACAGTCTGGTCCTGGGGGTCCTGGGGGTCCTGGGGGTCCTGGGGGACCTGGGGGTCCTCGGGGGCCTGGGGGACCTGGGGGACCTTTTGAACCTGGAGGTCCTGGAGGACCTGGAGGACCAGAGATTCCTGGGCCTCCTAGGCCTCCTGGAGGACCTGGAGGACCTGGAGGACCAGGGTATCCTGGGGGTCCTAGGCCTCCTGGAGGACCTGGAGGACCTGGAGGACCTTCAGGACCTGGAGGACCTGGAGGACCCGGAGGACCTGAGGCCCAATCAGCCACTGCAGGCCTGGCAGGTCCGTCAGGCCCAGCAGGTCCTACACGTCCTGCAGGCCCAACAGGCCTGGCAGGCCCTGCTGGTCCTCTGGCCCCTGGAGCTCCCACTGGCCCCAGTCTAGCATACATTATGGGAGCACCCCTTGGATTTGGATTGCGATAGCCATAATTTGGAGCTCGATAATATGGATATCGGTATCTCCGTCGTTCATGGCTTCCACTTTCACTGCTGGCCTGCAAGAGAAAGAGAAGAATGAGAAAAACATCCCATGAAAATAGATAAATAGATTTAATGTTGTGGTTATAATTAATACAAAACTTTTCTTTTCTTTTTTTTGTGATAACTGTTTTTGACAAAATCGGCTCATCAGCTATGCTACTTATGGAACTGATTCCCCAAGCCAAATCAATCATTATTATTATTATTATATTTGGATTTATATCCCGCCCTTCTCCTCGCAGACTCAGGGCGGCTGACAATCAATTAAAATACATAAATAACAATTACAAATTTAAAATTAATTAAAAGAAATATTTAAACATTGTCCAATTAAAATATAATTAAAACCCCTCTAAAAATTACCCTAGGCCAGTCCTGCAAGCTGGAATAACCAAGTCTTAAGGGCGCGGCGGAAGGAAGGGAGATCAGGGATG